AGCAGAGCAAAGCAGAGCCAAGCCGCGGTGCACGTGGGCAGCGGACACCCCTGTCCGCTGCCCGCGTGTTCCGCCGCTTTGCTTCCTCTCCCTGGTCTGCAGACCGGGGGGGGGCGGCAAAGCAGAGCCAAGCAGAGCCAAGCCGCGGTGCACGTGGGCAGCGGACACCCCTGTCCGCTGCCCGCGTGTTCCGCCGCTTTGCTTCCTCTCCCTGGTCTGCTGGAGACCAGGGAGTGGAAGGGCCCCGTTCGTAACTGCGGATCCGACATAAGTCGGATCCGTGTAACTCGGGGACTGCCTGTATTTAGAAACCAGGATGTTACTTACATTTTGATCAGAGCACTTTACGAGCATGGCCTACTTTAAAAATTTAGTCTACTCTGGCTTTTATACAAATATGCATTTTTCTAACAGAAGACTGGAGTCTGAAATATTATAAGTTATATTTACACGATTTTCTAAACTGCCAGTTCCAAAATGAAAATGTCAATGGTGAGCAACATTTGCCTGGCATGATACATCCTAATACTTCCAGGAAAAAAGGTCTTTGGGGTATTTACAGTAGGAACAAAGATCAGCTAAGTAAACTCAACAACTTACACCTACACTCACACGTCAATAAAATCAAAATAAACATTCAAGAAAGATCATTCAAACTGGGACAAGTGCAGAGGGCTATTAGATTCACTAGAAAAATGGTCAGCCTACCGTAGGAGAGGAATCTAAAAATGACTCGCTGTTAGGTTAGAAAAATAAAGACTAAGAGGGGCTATGATCATTCTTCATAAATACACTAAGGATGGGGGGACAATCACCATGGAGGGAGAAGAGCTATTTAAGCTGAAAGACAATGTTGTCACAAGAACAAGGGGGCATAAACTGGGCCTGGAAAAATGCAGGCAGGAAATCAAAAGGTTTTTAATCATCAGAGGACTGATGTTCCGGAACAGCCTCTGAGGCGATGACTATACTACAGAGCTTTTCCGGGATATCCGGAAAAGCTCTGCTGCATCCTAGGAATGCATCCTCTTTTTCGGAAGTTTCCAAAAAAGCGGATGCGTTCGTTCGGCATCCCTGTATTCCTCATTGTATGAGGAATAAGGGAGGTTCTGAAAGAAGAGATTTTTCTGAAAATTTGGGCGCATGTAGACAGGCCAAATTTCAGAAAAGCCTCTTCAGAAAAAAAGTGGAAAGAGATACATGGGCAATTTGCGTATCTTTTTCCGACTTTTCTTTATAATCTAGACATAGCCTGAATAGGAATACTGGTGGCAAACAACCTATCTGGTTTTAAAATGGGGCTCAATAAATTATCGAACAAGATTCTATTCAAAGGTTATCTAAGAGAGCAGGGGCTGGACTGAATGACCAAGGATAACTTTTCCAGACAGAATGGTTTGACAAACAATTCCTCCACCAGCGTTATTGAAACTTCATCCATTTCTCTGGTGTTCAACACGGAAGATACTCGGCTGTCTACATACTGTTTTGGAAACAGTGATACTCACTGTATGTTGAGTTGGATGGATATGCTTATTCTTTTTATGGGATATATATATATATACATACAGTATATATAAATACAATTCATGTACAAAGTACATGAATTAAGAAGTACACAAACAGTAATGCTGAAGCCATAGCCTCTTCAGACTGATGGAGTGGAGTTTGCCATTTCCCTCCATGGTGTTAGGATCGGACTATAAATATTTGAGGTACCAGATCATTCTCACTATATTGCATGGCATAGCTGCAATAATGGCACAACAATCTGGGACAGAGCTTCAGCTGATGTCAATTGTCCACTGAAGTCAATGGAACTGGGGATCTGCACCTCTATTTCTATATTTAACTTCCAACCTGAACTGATTAAAGTGCTAAATAGCACCACTGCAGTAACCTGTGCTATCCTGGTTATTTTAGGTTTTATTAACTATTGTGTTTACAGCTATGATTTATGAATGGTCAACCAAAAGACCATTGGATTTTGGGGCATCGGAGGCTAAAAAATATCTATGATATTATATACTCATCAACAGTACATCTACTTGGTCTGAAAAAAATTAGTTAATAAAGTTTTAGAGTAGAAGGTTGTATGATGTGCCAAGTGCTGCAAGGTTTCTCTGGAAAGAGAATCTCCACTGTGTGGCAAATTTTCCTATTTATTTGATTGAAAGTTCTCCTGAAATCTCCTAGCAGATCACATATAAATCACAACAGCAATGAAGGTTTTTAAATGGAGGATAGTTCCTTTACCAATAAACTAGAGAGGTTCTCTCAGCTTTTATATACTTTAATTATATTATAGGTTGAATCTCTCTAGTCCAGCACACTCTGGTCTGGCAACATCTGTGGTCCGTCATGATTTTAGTTAGCCGATGTCCTTTTATCATGGGTGTGGCTAATTTTCCCACATTCCCATAAAGTTTGTTTAAAGCCACTAGTCATGGCTCTCAGCACTCTGCGCTGTTATTTAGCTCTAATTTATTACTAAACG